GTGAGGCGCCGGCGCCGCGGGCGTGAGGCCCGCCTGGCACCGCGGCCCAGCGGAGAGGAACCTGCCAAGGGCTTCAGCTGTTGGAGCTCGGCTGGGGATTTCTTAGTCGATGAGCAGCATTACCTCCGATGTATCTCTGCCCCTGGAATTTTTCCACTATAACACTGGGTATGTTTGGTGCCCGCTCTTCTAAGCACAGTATCGGTATTTCTAGTAAGGGACGTTTTGGCAGACAGAATTGCCGTTGGCCCTTCAGTCTGGTTTTTTTTGGAATAATGGAGAAGAGAGAGATGTCAGAGTCACTCTAGTTTTTCAGTGAACTGTTGACCAACCGTCTGATTACTTAGTGGTAAGAAGCAAAACTAATTCCAGTGATGGACGTTGATGTTTTTCAGGACATGTTTTTCCTGATCCTTGTGAAGATAGAAATATATGAGATTACTTTGCACAATTGTTAAATGCAGGTATTTTAGAAGGAGCAATAGAGGCAGAGTAAATATTGTTCCTAATGTGACATGGTGTTTGAGAATTTCTTTTTGGAGTAATCTTTGATTAGAGTACAGTGTGCTTCTAAGTGTCCTTTATCTCTCAACTTTAACTTTCTTTTGACAAGAGAGGAGAAGGCATGTTACAGTAACTGTGTTCAGTGCTGCTTAGAGTGCTGCGTTCAGTGTCTCCCAGTAGTCTCAAAATCAGAGTGCAAACTTGTGTGAGTTCTGTGCTATTTTCAGTTGGTTTAAAAACAGTGGGAAAATGGCCTATAAATATTAGAGAAAGGTATATAGATTGTTGTTAAATAACAAAAGTACCAACTCATATTTTTCTGTCTTCAAACAAACGTTTTGGAAATTTATTTATTTTAATTATGTTTTTAAAGTTATGAAGTCTGGTGTAACAGCATTTCTTCTGACAACAACAAAATCTTTAAGCTTGGATTATATATGCTTTTTTAATGTTTGCTGAAATCTTTAATTCGCCTTCGGTGCTCAGTCACCTGCATTCATTGCTTACCTAACATGCTGTCTGACATGGGAAACTGGTGAACAAAAATGGCCCATGTCTGTAGTGTCTCCAGCTGGCGAATCAGTAATTGATCCAGCATCCAAACGTGTGGTTTCCAGACCATTTTGTTTATTTTGAAATATTTTGACATCAGAGAAAACGGTGTGACTGTTGCCGCAACAATAGGCCACTGTTGAATGAGGCAGTGTTACAGGCAAGAAGGGTTTACTGATGAGGAGCTTCAGCCAGTTTATTTCCCTTGTAGCCACTGGCTCTGAGGTGGAAGGAAAACACCAAGCGGAAGGGATGAGCCCCCATGGCCTCTGCAGAGCCTCTCCTCCCACCGCAGGGGACACTGCCCC